AAATGAAATGTAAACTGGATTTCTTTCCCATGGACTGTTTATTTTTCAGTGTATGATGATATTTTTTACAAGAAAATGTGACATCTCTGATCCCATGCAGCACTTAAGAAAACAAAACCAGATTCTTCCAATTTGAAAATAGCAACAGAGATGGGAGATGGGGGACTATTTTTTTGTGCTGATTTTGATGACCGAGTCATTGAGTTAGGAGAAAGGCCTATGGTAAAAGTATTGAATGGAAGGAAAGCAAACTGAGAATGAACACAAGCAGATGAAAGACTGCATTTCAACAGGGCTCTTTTTCTCCACACACTGACCATTAGGAGACCTGGGAACTCATGGCACGGTGCTTGTTGCATTATGACAAAGAAGAATTAGGACCACACAACATCATGTTCTCTAGTTCAGCCACTCAGCCTTTAAGTAAGTCACTGTATTTGACTGTAGTAAATTCTATTGAATCACTGTGATAAATTGGCTAATGATTAAGTGTTGATTAACTGCTACTAACCTTGCAGTTTACTGCAAAACTATTAAGAACCTGTAAATTGCTGTTAAAACTCAGGTTGCATACAATCAATCTGCGACAAACGTCTGTGTCCTCATGCTGTACCTCTTGGAACACCAATGGAGAACATCAGGAGGCTTCCAGGAGAGTGTTCCTACTTCCTTCATTGACCCTACAGAAAGGTTGGGTTCCCTGCTTAAGTGCTAAACCAACCCCTGCTAAAGGGCAATGAAGAAAAACCTTGTTCTTCCTCTTTGCTTAGCTGCCAAAGTCCCTTAACCAAAATTCTACAAGATTCCAATCTTGGATCTAAAGCCAAATGAGCAAAATTATTTTTCTTTCTGAAATTGTCTTGCTTTATACCTGCAGAATCAGCTCAAAGTGGGATTTTACCCTATGTTTGCTGTGTTCTCACACTCCTGGTTCCTTCCCTAGGACTTGCTGCTGCCCCTTGATATGACACTTCCTGCTCCTGGAAGTGCTGTGCTTTTGGTGCTGCAAGTCACATCTCTTCTTCACTTTCAGTGTTTGTGTTTAAGTCCCCCACACACTTGCTGACCCAAAGGCATGTGAAGTTACCACTGTCAAACACCTTCATTTTCCTTTCCTTGCCTGACCCCAGCGTTGAAGCCCTTTTCTCAGTGCAGCACCTCTAGCAATGCTCTAACTTGGCAGTTATATTTGCAGTGAGCTGTGCTGCCACTTATCCTGGAGAAGTTCTGTGCATGAAATCCACTTTCCTCTTGCACAGAACAAGTGCTTTCCATAAAGCAGTGCCATGCACACAATAAGCCCAGAGGCAGCAAACTGTCACCTGCTGACAGGAGGCAAGAATTCCCCTTACAAACAGACCTCCACCACAAGAGAAATAGCAGCGAGCCAGCTCTTTGGATGTGCTAAATATCATCAATTGCACTGAGAGGAAGGGGGAAACTGCACGAAGAATGGACTAAGTGCTTCATATTTGCTACTGATTTTAGGATGTACATATATATATCTTTAATGAGAGCTTTAGTGAAGGGATCACTGTTTTCCCTCCGGCAGAGGCACAGCTGAGCTGGGCCCTTTGTTTTCCCCTGCTGTGTGGTGGAGCTGCCCGAGTGGGCTGTGTCTGCAGTTGTGGGAGTGGGAAATGAGGGGGGTTCAGCTCTGACGGCTGTGTTCCTGCATCCCACATCCCTCATCCTGCATCAGTGCATCCCACATCCCTCAGGCTGGCAAGAGGTGTGCAAATGAGAGACTGGGAGGAATAAAGACGTCATCTCGAAGTGGGCTCTCCCTTTGGGCTCCTGCTGAAGGCTGGATTTCGTGCTCTCACAGCCCCGTCTCCCACGTGTGCTGGTGAAGTGCTTCAGATCCTACAGTGCTCTCAGGTAAGGGACCAGCTCTCAGTGGGATCCTGCACCCTTCGGCACATCGGGTGGGAGCTGAGGCTTTGGGAAGCATGGGAAAAGCTGCCTGCTGCGTTCCTCACTCCTGCATGGAGCATCTGAAGTGGGGAGCGGGCACAGCTAAGTTGGAGCAGACTGAGTACTGGAGGATAAGTGTGGAAACAAACGGTCCTCATTTGGGCTCATGCTGTGAGTCACAGCGCTCTTCTTCTTTTGACCCACATAAATGAAACATTTAGGGTGAAAATAATAACCAGCACAACAGTTTAAGCTATAACTGCCCAAAATAAAGAGAGGACCAGACTGTAGCATCTGTGCTGCAGGGACTGAGCTCTGCTGCTAGCTGGGAACAGCCTTCGAGAGGTGAGCCAAAAGCCTGCTCTTGTCTGTCACATTTTTTTTCTGGCTGTGGCTGTTTTCCCCTTTGCATGTGACTTTCCCAACTCTCCAGCAAACTGGGAGCAGGGACTGTGTGGGGGGTCACCTGCACTGCCTTTGCATGCCATGGGTCTGCATGCTGCACCACAGCAAGTTTCAGCCAACGTTTAAGCTCGGACAGTGCCAGTTCCCAATATCAGCAAAGCCATTCCCTACCTGCCTGCCTGCTGAATAGCACTTCAGCACCCTCATGCTTCGGCATGGAGGAAAATATTCATCTGCAACGCTCAGAAGCTTCTGCAGGTATGCTGAAAGGCTGGGCAATGGGGCAGCATGCGTTTATCTAGGGGAATTCTGTAGGGATTTGTGAGTCCTGCAGGAGTCAAATCTGGAGTCTGAGGGATAGGTTGATGCCCTCTCCTAGTAATTATGTGCACTATGCCCTTGTGTGAATGTTCTGTTCATAGCCATCATGATTTGCTTTATCTTACCTGTTAGAACTGCAAGCCCAGAACTCTCTTTCGGTCATTTCTGGACTCCGTCGCTAGATGGGGACATGCTCACGTACACTGAGTCCTCCCTCGGTTTGTTTTCACTTTCTTTACTTCAGTGTAAAGTGAGAGTTAATTTAGATGGAATGCATTTTACCCTCTGCTTACAGAAATACAGCATTCCCATCCACACACAGTTCTGCTCAGGACAATTTGGTACCCAATCAATTTTTAATACAGCATTAATTTTGTTAGCAAGGCTTCTGTAAGAAGCCACAAAAGTGATTCTGGAGATGAAGCTATCTAAAGGCTAGTATTACTGATCTCTTTACATAACTTGGAATATTACTGTCACTAGCCAGTGACATACTCAAAATTAATGTCTATTTATGCACATTCTAAGAACTTTCACCAAATCTTTTAAAGTTTAAAATCAGGGTATCAATTGTTTTTGGAAACTACCAGTTTCCCTTTCTTCTTCCTGTTTTCCCTGAGCGTGCAACACTGCCCATTTCCTTTCTTCAAATATTTGTCAGTAGTTGCAATCCAAAGCCCAGATTTTGCTCTTTGGAGGAAGGTTGTGGTGCCTGGAGGAGGAGTATGCCCTCCCTGAGGACATAGACAATCTCTATTCCACGCTCTTTATCATCTTTGTGGTCTCTGTGCTTGCACATCTCAGCCATATATGGTGGGGATTGGACATGTGATGGTGTGGGTATATGGCCATGTGTTGCCTGGCTGGTGCAATTTTGTCTTCACCTCCTCTCTGGGGCCTTGCAATCTTTGTAGGGTTTGGGCCAGCTTGGGCTTTGCATGCACAGTGAGAAACTGTGCTGGATGGGTTTCAGGTCAGCTTGGAACAGAATGTGGCACACTTAAAATACTGCTTTTTAGAGAATTTTAAAGAAGCTGATTTGGGGCATCTTCCTCCATTCCTGCCTCTTCCACATGCATTCCTATTCCTTTTGCTCCTTCGACAAGTCTGAAATAACAGAGTCCTTTGCTGGGAACTCAGCAGAGCTCTTATGATAGGTACATGCATAAGAAGTGAAAAATGGTTCTGCACAACATGTATCGCGATTATCACGAGATAGCAAGCTACAGCAGCTGAGCAGAAATGACCTACAGCAAAATAATTAGTAGTGGGCTGTGCTTGGTCTCGTTCATCTTCATCCTAGCAGGCTTCGTGTCCTGTGTCCTGAGACCACAGGGAGAGGAGGTGTGATTTGGGATCTGTTTCTTCCAGTAGTTTAGCCGTTACCCACATGTCCCTTTCTGATCAATATTTCTTCTGCACCTCAGAACAACCCCAGCCTCATTTTTCGCCACCTATTCACCCAGTTGGTGCTGATGGTGGACCTGTCCCGAAGGCTTGGAGCATGTGCACATGAGTGTGAGAGCTTTCCAAAGTCCTGTGAACACTCTCATCAGCACTGGATTGGACTATTTAACTGTCCAATGCTGTTTTATGCCCAGCCTGGATGACTCACTGGCTGCTCATCCCTCACCCCATCATAAAAGTTCTTCATTACAAAGACCTACTTTCTAATCCAGCTACTTTCTAATGAAAGGCATTGTGTTCTGAGCTCCCTGAGGTTTGTAGTTTCCATTCCACGTCCCTCTTCAGAACAGTCCCTGATCTCAAAAGTATCTTCTTCCCCTCTTTTCCCCTTTTCTTTACTTCACTTTTGCTCACTAAATAATATTTGCAGAGATCTGCATTGTGTAGCAAATTGTACCTCCGTCACTGAGCTTTCTCACAAGGTCAGATGCACTTTGTGCTACCCACCAAAAGTGAGGGCTCTGGTTACTCCCACCCCCCTACTTACCAGAATCTTTGGCAGATGTGTACATTTTCCATGGCTACTGTCCAATTCTTCACAATTACCCGGATCCGGCACTGTACAAACTGTGCGTGAGTAGGGTGGCAAAAAGCAATGGGCGAGGCAAGGAGCAACGGAGGAGCAGTTTTATGCCACTGAAAACCAGGCTTGAGAGGCTGTGAAGGCCAGAGAAGGAAAGCATCTCCCAGGGTGTTCAACTCTGAGTGCATCATGCTTTCACTGCCCGCATTTGGGGCTGATTTGGGGGGGTCTTCAGGATAGTGAAAGACTACAGAAGTGTGTGAATCACTCTGAGCCAAGATATTTAGTTAGTTGAAGACACTGCTTTTGATTTTCATAACTGTATTCACTTCTGTATCCCCACAGACAGCCCAAAAGGTGCTTCACAATGCCGGCTGGCCTGGAGAAAGCTTGTCACCGCTGCATATCCAAAATTGCCAGCAATGGTAAGGCTGCTCTGGGAGTAACCTCTCTCTGTATTTAAACAGCTCCACAGCTAATAGAAATAAGCCTAGAACGAAGTCCCACCTGAATTTTCCTTGACTTCCCTGCTTTCCTTTTCCTTTCCTAAGTGATTTTAAGTGCTGATAGAGCATCCAGCAGCAGTTGCATCTCTAAAGTATCTACCTGTACTGTTACGTGGATCAGAGCAGGTTGAGCAGAGGGTTAAGAGCCAATATGTTTAAAACTCCCACTGACTGTATCTCCTTTTCACTCTGAGTTGCACACAATTTTTGCTTTCACTTTTAATCAACAGCAGTTTCTAATTCCACTCAGATGTACAGAGAAGAAAACTCCTTCATCCACTTGACCACTCAGCCTAATTGATACTTCACCCACACAACCTATTGCAGTCGTCAGTCCATGGAGATCAGGGTCTTTTATATGAATTTCTTTGGCTTCACTTCAACGGCTCTCAAAGTTCAGAACAAACTTTAACTTGTGATTAAGTCACATTGCTCCTTGCTGCCTTGCAGTCCTTCAGATCAAACAGCAGCACTGATGAGTCCCAAGTGCATTTTAGCATGAACAGTTGTGGAAGAGCAGAATTCAGCCAAGCAGCTGGGACTGCTCTTAGAGCTGGTGCTGGAGGAGTATCAGGGAAATGCCCAGAGGTTCATGGAACAAAAAGGCAAATGCAGTGTGTCCTCTGATTTTTGTTCCTACTAGTTAGGAGAAAAACGTCACTGTTCCCTGCTGGTACCCGAGCTTTAATGATGGCTGAGAAAACAAAAGATCTTTCTGAAGGTTTTTTGAAAGAATGGGATTAGTTCTGATCTCATGCCTGCTTCCTTACCTCAGGAGCACCTTCTTGGATACCCAAAAGTCCCCCTTATGTAAAGCAACTCAGAAATACCACCCCAAGAGACCCATTATCTTTAGTTCCTCTTTACATTTAAGTTCAAAATCGACTTGGCTTTAGCTACAGATCAGCCACTGCATCCCGAACTGATTTTCTGTTTGTTAAAATGCAAACTCCCCTAAAGTGCCCTGGTGCTTCATTTTACATTTTCTCATCACCCCGTGTACATTTTTCAAATTGCATTTCAGCACAGCCCACGTTGTACCTATAGTTTCCTGATATTTAAATGACTCTGAAGAGTCACCCAACTTCCTCAGCATCATTTATGTTATTTTCGTTCTTCATACAGCAATTTAAGCTCAGAACATTAGGGCAATATTAAATAACTGACCACATAATAAAAGGCTAATTCACTATGCTGAGTCTCTTGCAAAGCAAATCAGCGGCTCTTTATGTAATGCCTACACTGTATTTAAAAAGTGCATCTGGAAATTAAGCACAAGGGGCCAAATTCAGCACTGAAGTTATGACATAGCTGTAATTTAGTAGCTAGAGACATGGCATAAAATTCAGTCAAGCTGTTCTGCAATATTGCCTAACCCCCGCAGTGCCTATAATCTTTATGTATACACCTTCACCATTCGGTTGAATGTTCCCAGGTTACTGGCACCCCTTTCCAAATTGTTACTGAGGAGAACAGTGTTGCTGGTGTCAGTCCTGCAACCAGAAACTTAAATTGTAGGTGTTGTGATGCTGGCATAGCTTACTTGGGTACGCAGCTACTAGTGACCTGTTTCACAGTAATACAAGCTTTTCTAAGCAGACAGTGATGAATGGCATATAGCAAACAGCTGGAGACTGAGATTGGGTTTGGTCTTCAGCTCAACTTTATTGCACTCTCTTCACCTCCAATGGTGACCTTGCGCTGGTACTGGAGACTTCTGCAAGGCTCTCTCAATCTTGTAGATGTTTCCTGCAAATACCATGAAGGAGTAAAAGGTGGATGAAGATACCTGTGATGTGTAGGCACTCTGTTACACTGCTACCTTCCACACTGCCCTATAGCACACTGTGACACTGCTTCCTAAGTGCTTTCCACATGCATCCTTGCAGCATCCTCCGAAACTGCCTTAATGCACTTCCAAAATGAGTGGCCCACTTCCCAGAAGTTAATTGAGGTTAACGATGGATTCTGGCTTCTTCATTCCTATTTCAGCTCCTCTTTAATGCTGATTTCAACTCATAGAATCATAGAACAATAGAAGATCAGAAGTTGGAAGGGACCCAAAAAGGTCATCGAGTCCAACTCTCGACTCCACACAGGACCACCTATAATTCAAGTCTATGTCTGAGAGCCTTGTCCAGATACTCCTTGAATTCCAGCAGCTTGGTGCTGTGCCCACAGCCCTGGGCAGGCTGTTCCATGCTCACCGACCCTTTCCCTCACCCCCAGCTGCCTCCCCTGACGCAGCTCCACGCCTTTCCCTGGTTCCCTGTCGCTGTCACACAGAGCAGAGCTCAGCGCTGCCCTCCGCTGCCTGTGAGGAGCTGCAGCCGCCATCAGGCTTCCCCTCAGCTCCTCTGCCCTCTGCTGAACACACCAAGGGATCTCAGTTGCTCCTCATACATCTTCCCCTCCAAACACTTCACCATCTCCATAGCCTTTCTTTGGACACCACATTCTTCTTATATTCTGGTGCCCAAAGCTGCACGCAGTGCTCCAGATGAGGCTGCACTGGCATGGAGTCTTCTCAGAGGCTGCCATGCGCATCTGCATCCCAGGTATCGGGCTGTAAACCAAATTTACTGACATCCACACTGCTGCAAGTCAGCCCCTTTCAAAGCAGAATCCTGTGGGAGCTGAGAAAGGGCTGCTGTGTATTTATACCCAGACCTTTTCTCCTCAACTTGCCCATGAAGATAAACCCTGGGATGAACGCAAAATTTGGAAAAAATATTCTCCTTTTTTATCAAAAATTGTCAGGCCATAGAACAGTGTGGCTAAAGTACCCAACACCTCATTTATTATGATGTATATTGTCAGAGAGCTTGCCATGCGGTCTCCTGAGCAGGCTGCACTACTGCCATACAAGCATGCCATTCACGAAGTGGATAGATTAAGATCTGTAGTCATAAATCACTTCAGATCAGAAGAGGGACCAAGCCACACAGCCATGGTGTTGGTGGTGATTTCATGCTCATTTACTTCCGTGCAGTGGAAGAGTGTGGGGAGCTCTGGCAGGAGACTGAAAGCTCAGCTAAACTGTGGGTTTATGGCATTGAAAAGTCCTGCTGTGCAGGAGGCGCTCTGCACCACCCTGCTGATTTTCCTGCCCACAGATTTCAAGGAATGTGCAAAATGGAAAGCTGTTCCCTCTCCTCTTTCTCTGCTGTGACTGCACATTAGGGTTGCTTGTGTTGCCTCCCATAGCAGGGCCTTGCTCATGCCGATCACAAAATGGCTGCCCCAGCAGTGGCTCTGCTGCCTGATGCCCTGACAGCAGCTCCTCAGAGCGGGTGCTCTTCTGATGTTCCTCTGAACCATGCCTGGGCTCATTTACCTCACTCAGCTGTGGTTTTAGAGACTGCCAGTCTTTTCTTGCCTCTTTTTCTAGGACTGGGTCCCAGGGCTCTTCTGACGGGCTGGTGTGGTGATACTGCTGACTTAAAGCTATTGCTAGCCACGTGTGTGAAACTGCATGGACAGCAGCTCCTTCTGTAGAACTGCCTTGCTACCTTGCGACAAATTGCATTTTATTGAGCAATTTGTCTTCAGACCAGACTGGGGCAGCACAATCCAGGCAAATGCAGGCAGAGTGTGTGTGTCCTATCTGAGGAGCGTTGCTCTGAACCCCCCCTCAACGAATTGGGGAAAACGGTCTTTAGCTCTGCCAGTTGCGTAGCCAATTGTTGAGAGTCTCACTTTGTTGAACACAGCGCTGGAAGCCTTCCCAGACGATGCATCTGCCCCTCCAATTCCAGACCTAAGAGGCTAAGGCTGAATGGGAAGATAATGAGTAAATACATTCCCAGAGACTGCTGTGGGAGGAGAATTAATGAACCATTATCTTTTTCTCTTGAGCCGCAAGTTGTCCCTACCTCCCGTTTCTCTCCTACAAAATCAAGCTTCTGGGTAGAGATGTTCGACATATACGAGCCAGCTGTGTACCAGATGCACAGCCCCACATAAACGTGGGCCTTGCTGAGCCTCTCAGGGCTCATCACAGTATCTCTCCCTACTGATCCATGCACTGCCCGGTGAAGGAATGGCACGGTGCCACCTCCAACTTGCTCCTGCAGGAACAGGAGGAGCTGATACCTCCATCAGATTGGTGACTCCACTCAGAGCTGCTGACAGCACTGTGATGACGGGACCTAGGGCAACACTGGGGAATCGATGCAGCCCCTGCCCACTTCAGCTGCATTCATTTGGATGCTAGGTACATTTGTTGAGGTGGGCACTGCTTGCTGGTGATGTGCATGGGTGTGTTTGAAGTCCAACTGAACTTCAAACACTGCTCTAGCTGATGAAAATTATAGTCTAGATAACATAACAGCAAGAATGTCTGGCATGAAATGGGACACTTGGTGAAAAGGAAGGGTCTGGGGTGTCAGTGTTTGAAAGAGCTTTGTCAAGGGTAGGATATCACTCAGGCAGAGGAGGAGTTTCTGGTCTGTGTCGAATTCAAGACATGGAAGAGCCAGAGCAGGAATGTGTGTGAGAGAGGCCAACCGGCAGAGAGAGGAGGAGTGGCACAAAGGAACAGAAGTGCTTTCTTCAGCTCAAAATATCTTCAGTCTCCACCAATTCATAGAGATAATAAACATGCTGTTTCTGAGAAAGACAGTCATCTCTCAGGCACAGAAGTATGAGCTCTATGCTCCCTGTTAAGGAAACACAAGCAGTGTGTGTGTGGGGGGGGGATAGATTCCTGTGAAAAGTGACTGCAAGGCAGAAAATCCAGATTTTGATGGTGCCACTACGTCTCTGATTCAGTTTCTCCTTCTGGCAAATGGAGGCAGTGCTGTTTCCCTATTCCTACAAGCACCCTGATGGTGATGCTTTGGCAGCACTGCACAGCCATCCTGTGCTGCACTGCACAGCATCATGTCACAGGCAGTGTGTCCAGTCCCACATTGCACAAAGGGAGCAAATTGTTTGGCAGAGGCTGCAGTGCTGGGATATGAGCTCTGACTTCTTTCATAATCTTCCACGGAGGCACACTACTCTTTTCTTAACCCTTCTGCAACTTATGCCTACTTCCACAGTCTACGCCTATTGCACATTTGCTTTCTTAGGCACCTACTTGCAGATCAAGAAGTGCTCTGCAGGGACGCTCGCTGCAGAATTTCATCATTATGCTTCCCCCTCATTTTCAGGAGCAGCATCTCACTTCAATATTGCAGAGTGCCCATGATGAGGCACAGATGTGGCAGCCTTTGCAGAAGATAGGCTGCTCACATTGTCATTGACACTGGATTTCTGCAAAAGTAAGCACTCATCCTCAGTTGCATCAGACTGTGCTGGGAAAGTATGGGGATTCAGAAACAGCAGCAGGTTTCTGAGGAGTAACTAGGCACCTCAGAGCCTCTCATCCAAGAGAAAAGTTGATGCACACCCCTGGAGTATCCCTCCATGGAGCTAGAGTAACCCAGTGATAAGCTGTTCCCTGTCTTTGTGTCCATGTGCTGAGCTGGGTCAGGGAGCCAGACTAAGCCCTAACTCTCCACTTGTGCAATAAAGATCACTTATTTAGCTATCAGGGAAAACCGAGTGTAATGGCATTGCAGCTGCTATTTGCTTCGCAAACAGACACTGCTCATCAGTTGCCATGGATTAGCTCATGCGAGCTGCTTGTTATCACACACTATAACCTGGCAGTGTCTGAAGCTGGTGCAGGCTAACAAAGCCTTTGCAGTCAGATATTTAAAAGTAGTAGCAGCAAAAGTACTTTGTGTCTCTCATTGTTTTATTGCTGATGTAAGAACTAAAATGTATTAATCAAAAAATAGAGGCTTGAGCTCTGGAAGAGCAGCAGACCATTTCCTGGTCTCATCGTCTCAGATGCTGCACAATAAATGTGATATTCCCCCTGCATCTTGTACACTGCAAAGCACTGGTGGAACTTCTAAACTCCAATAACACTGTCTTTATTTTCTTTTTCTTTTTCTTTTTTCTTTTCTTTTTTTTTTTTTTTTTTTTTTTTTTTTTTTTTTTT